TCTGAGAATCACCTTATTGGACTACGGTTGGAAGTTTTCTGTGAGTGGAAGATATATGGGTTTTATGCAGATGGATGGAGAATGAAAATGTATGAAAATGCTCGGGTATGTAAAATTATATTTTTTGGCTTTTAGGATAAAAAAGTTTCATGGATAATATGATGTAGACGTAGTATGATGGTAGACATAGGAGTACTCTATACAAGTTTAATGTATGATGGATAATATGATTACACCCACATGCCCCACAGTCAACCACAATCACCACCTCAATACCAATACCCCCATATACCCCACAATTTCAATCACAATACCAATACACCCGCATGCCCCACACACAATTCCAGTCTTCTACATATCCTAATATGGGTCCCTTAACATCTAACCTTAGCCCTGATCTGGGATTTTCCGAAGATTATGAACCAACCGATCCAACTTACCATCAACCACCACATCACCAAAGCACCCAACATTCCCAATACCAAACACCCCAGGATTCATTTCCTTTCTACCCCCCGTACTTAGACGACCAGTGCTATAGACCAACCATGGAACCCCACCCACCACCAACACGATCAAACTTTGAGGGTATGGGTAACCGACTGTTCCAAAGCGGATCTTCTAGATATGGAGATCTGACCGATTTCATAGATCTGGAATGCATTGACTTCGCTGGGCCATCGACCCTGCCACAACAGGAAACACGACGAAACCCAACACGGGAAAGGCGGGGACGGGGATGCGGAACTGCGAGTCGTTACCGGGTTCTGGGGGACCACTGATTATTTTGTATTTTTTTATGTAATCGTTTTGTGTAATCATGTTGTGTAAATAAAAAGTCGAACTTTCGTGATCCTATATCGTTTACGTAACGTACCGCATTTAAAATAAAAAAACGCAAAAAATCGTCTGCCCATTGCACTAAGGCGCCATCTCACTTGGCTTAGGGCACAAATTTAACACCTAGGCGCCAAGTGAGATGGCGCCTCCCCTTTAAAATAAGGTATAGGCGCCAATTGAGATGACTCCTCCCTTGTGAGATTTTCTGAAATATGGTTATTTGCGAAATTTATTTTCAATACCTGATTATTAAAAAAAAAAATCACTACACTCACTTAATATATGAAACGTTCAAATCAAATGACTAAAAAAATAGCAACCCAATAAATAAAACATATAATTAATTAATTGAATAAATTAATAAATTATATAATTAAAAATAGTATGCCAATAAATAAAATATATAATGAATTAATTGAATAAATAAATAAATTATTATTTGATTATTTAGCTTATACTTTTATATAAAATTTATGATTTTTTTTATTATGAAGATTGTTATTGAAGATTATGTTATATGTTTGATTTTAATCTTCATGTTCAATTTGTATGAGTATATTTACATAGTTCATTAAATTTTGATTGGTATTGTCATACATTTTATATTTGTAAAATTTATAAATTTAAAAATTGACGAATAGCTGTCATACATTTTAATTTTGAAAAAATCGGCTAAAATCTAAAAATAAGTTTAGTAAATTTTTAGAATTAATTCATTTAGATTCTTTGTTAACTCATTTAGATTTACGAGTAGATAGAAATGTATCTATAAGATATCAGCTATTGATTGATTATTTATATGAATCAATGCTTAAAAGTTTATACATATTATTAGTATATAATTGAAATTACGTGAAATTTATAAATTGTAAAATAAATTATATTATGTTTAATATTTTAAAACATAAATTATAAATTATAACTATATTAATTATTAGACGGTGTGACAAGTGATCGAGAGAGGGGGTGAATAGATCACCTCTTACTTTTTCAAGGATTTAAAATTATTTTATCAAAGCGAGTTGAAAGCAGCGAAAATCAATGTCCTGAATCAATTCCGTCTACTTTGAACCGACTACTAGAAAACTTGACATGTGAAAACTTTGCTGGATTTTTATTAAATGGAATGGATGAATGTACAACTCAGAAATCTTGACGTTTCAATGCACGTATCATAAAACAGTATTTCCAATTAATTTAGAAATTTAATAGGAATTTTGTCAAACACTTGGCGTATGCTTGTATAATGATTTAATAGTGGTGGTTTGGTGAAAATGTTTGAGCCACTATGTTTATCATTAGACTGTAAAACTTAGCACGCCAATTGAATTGCAAAATTATAGAATATGTAAAATTGTAAAGAGAAAGAAAGAGATAACGATATGCAGGCAGTTTGATAAGAAAGTTCCCCACTGTCGTCCTCGCGTGTGGGTACGTCTCCCTCTCAATTTCACAATCGAAACTGAGAACTTTTATATCAATATGCTGAATGTTTGATAGCAAGGTTACACTACACAGAAAGAAAGAAATCCCTATGATCTTCTTCTTCTTGTAAGAACCACCACTTGATATGAGCTGTATCAAGATTCCCTGCAAAGTCACCGAATGATCCTCCGCTTCCACGACCTGTTTGTTCAAAATCCTTCCGATTTCCAAACCCCTCGCTACGGCTGAATCCGACTCGCGTGACCGTGACTGACAAAACCCTCAAGAACACACCCGTTCTTGAAGGACAAACCCTCTGGTTTATTTCTTGAAGCTTCCTCTTCAACCTTCAACCCAGCTAGACTTCTTTAATACTCAGCTGAACGTTATCTCAAACCACTTGATTCAATTTAACAAGGATGTTTGATTTTCTTTGTAGTTGTTGAATGTAAGATGGTTGAGGAGATGATGAAGATGAAGGGATGAAAGGCTTCTGGTTGCTCACAATTGTTTTGCACACAATCTTCTATGTTGCTATCTTGCTTCTGAAGAAATGCTTGCTTATATTTATAACAGAAAACGGTTAGTCAAAAAGAAAGTGATATGAGTCGATGCATGTTGGTCATGTGTCGACTCATGTTAGTTATATGTAACATGATGAGTCGATACATTAAGTTTTGAGTCGATACAAAATCATGTTATAGTGTTTTACAGAACCGACACTTTTATACCCGTCGACACATAATGCGTATGTGTCGATACATACTGATTGTAAATTTAACTTTTGAATTTAAAACATAGCATGAGTCGACACATGATATTATGTATCGATACATATAAGTTTCAAAACGTTTTCCAGAATCATCAGAATGTTTTGTGTCGATACATAATGCTTATGTGTCAATACATACTGATTGTAAATTTAACTTTTGAATTTAAAGCATAGTATGAGTCGACACATGATATTATGTATTGATACATATAAGTTTCAAAACGTTTTCCAGGATCATCAAAATGTTTTGTGTCGATACATAAGGTTTTGTGTCGATTCATACAGGTATTACAGGGGCATCAAAATATTATGTGTCGATGCATGAAATTTATATATCGATGCATGCAATTTTTGGATTTACATTCCAGGATCATCAAAGAGTTATGAATCGACTCATAAGCTTTTGTATCGATACATAATAGTTTTGAGATACAATCCAGGGACTTCAGAAAACTATGTATCGATACAAAACTTGATGTGTCGACTCATAATAATGCATTATGAGAGAAATGTAATTTTGACTTATTCAAACATGTTATATTATATTTGCAATCATTCAAAATCAATCTATGAAGGAGTTGCTCACATTAATATTATCCAACTGAAAATATAATATTATATTTAAAAATTTATTAATTGATACATGTAATATAATTCTAAATGAAACCTGTACAATATCACGGGTTTTTAAAGCAACCTGACTTGGTAACATATGATTTTTAATAATTAAGAACTAAGTAGCAGTAATATAGTTGAAATGGAATATATCAACAAAAATGATAGACAAAGATGACATTCCAAATTTGCATCAGCCCACATAATGATGTTTCAATAGCCACATCAATGATACTGCACCTTAACATTTCCCAATTTAAAAATATGAAAACAACACACATCACAATTTTCAATCCCAACCGAACCTTGTTTCACAAAAACTCAAAAACACACCAGAAATCAAAATGGTAAATAGTATTAATATTGATTAAAATTAAATTAAATTAAACAAAATAAATGAAGAGAATAATATTTTGGAAAAAATTTAGATGTTTACTTAAATGTGATTTATATATTTTTTAATAAAAATATGATAAAAGTATAATTTTCTCTTATCACATATAACTTTTTCTTATTTTTACTGTTTAAAAGATGTTTAAATATATTTATCATATTTTTATTAGAAAAAAATATAAATTATTTATGAAGTTGTATTTAAATATTCTCTTAATATTTATATACTGTTAATATAAATTTTTTTTACACGATCAATTAATAGAAAATAAATAATCTGTTATATCATTAAAAACTTTTTAAAATAAAACTAAGATACAATTAAATAAATAATTATAATTAATTAATACCGTAAAACTATTTTACACCAACTATTTTACACAACACCTCTTTTCTCATAAATGACTCCCATCGCTAATTGAAAATCACAATGCCGTCTAAAAATATTAAAATATTTACTACCCCTGTCCTTTTCAAAAATTTATCATTTCTCTCTTTCTACATAATTTTATTAAATTTTAATCATGTCAATTAACTTTATTAAATTATCAAATTATATTTTTTTTATTAAAAAATATTTTGTAAATAAAAATAAATATCCTGATAAAATATTATTTTTATTATTAAAGGAAAAAAATATTAAAAATCATAAATTTAATATTCCTATTAACTTTATTTTAATTTAGTCAATAGAATCCAATATTAAAAAGATAGATCCTTAACATAAAATCGATTATTTCTAATTGCGAGTTGAATAGTATACGAACTGAAATACCAACGAAAAAACGGCTTTCAATTAAGCAGTTCTGAAAATTCCTTCTCAACTCGTATTCAGTTTCAGTCTTCTTCTTCCCTCATCAACACGCTTCACCAAAATCCAATTTCAGTTTCAATATTTATATGTAAACAACAACAACAGCACCAACATTCCTTTCAAATCCCGCACTCCCTCACCATGGCGGGTGCACACTCTTCTCATCACAGACCGCCCACCGCAACCACCTCCTCCTCCCGTCTCCTCCTTCTCCTCACCGTCCTCCCCCTCACCCTCGCCGCCTTCGCCTTCATCCTCCAATGGCGCGGCGGCGTCACCGACCCTGTCTCCCGATGGTCGCCCGATCAACACGTGTTCCCCGGTATGTCAGTCTCCAGCCACCAACAACAATCGCAAACTCGTTCACGTTCCGATTGTTCTAACCTTTTCCCCGATTCTCATTCCCCTTCTTTCCCTTACTTCCGTGATTGGAAAATCGATTACTCCGTCGATCTTTCCCCTAAGGTATTGTCTTTTTCTTCCTTTCAATTACCCTTGGATCTATCGTTCATTTCTTTATTCTTAAACCCTATGTCGTTTTGTTTTTTTTTAATTTTTAAATCCATCAATTATGCATCAATTATGGAATTGTGATTTTTTTTTGTCAGAATTTGAAAAAAAATTGTTTTTTTATGTGGTAGATATGTATTACAACGAGTACTTCTGCTGATTTGGAACAAACATTGCCATGGATCTTTTATCATAAAGTTATGGGAGTTTCGAGTTTTTTCCTTTTCGTTGAAGGGAAAGCTGCGTCGCCTAATGTATCTCGAGTTTTAGAAAGCATTCCGGTGAGTTCGATTTGAATTGATTTATTTAACACTGCTGTAACAGTTTTGATTAGTTATTAGTTTTAGCCAATCCTTGATTGTTGACTTTTTTGTTTAGGGGGTCAAAGTTATATATAGAACAAGAGAATTAGAGGAGCAACAAGCTAAAAGGTGTGCTTTTTCTTTTGTTTTTTTCTTCAGTTCGAAGTTTTTTTTCTTCTTTCTGTTTGTTGAGTATGTGAATGTTGTTTACATTGGTAACCGTGCCATTAGTCATAATGATTGAAATGGACGTAGAGTTTGGATTTTAACTATTTTCTTCTGCAATTTGAATAAACAATGAATAGTGGTTTAAATTCGTTGCTAGATTATGTTTTTGTGAATTTAAAGTTTGACATTCTGGATCTGATTTGATTTAACTATTCAGACTGTCTTGTTTTTTAATACAGATCATTCACCATTGGCAGAGTTATGTGTTCAAATAGTCTAATAGTAATAACTATGTTAGTGTAACATATGGATGATGTTGATTCTTACAATTTTTACACTGAGATGATTCTGCAATTTTCTAAATGTAAATGCAGTGATCGCTCAGTGTCTATTTGAACACGGTCAGATTCAAATAAAATATCTGATCAAAAGCTAGACTCATAAGAGGTTCCTATCATAGTTCATGTGATTAAGGTTTTTGTACTTTTGAATTTTTCATTCCTTTTTAGCTTTTTCTTTTTTGTTATGAAAACGAGTTATGAATAGTTGAGACTTGAACCTTTGCTTAATAGCTAAAGCTAGATTTGTCAATTAACTCTAAAATTAGATCAAAGTTGGTTACTCAAACATCTTTTTTATAACTCCTGTTAATTACATTTATCATCATACACATTCATAAGTTTTCTTTTTTGTTCTTAAATATTCACTAGTCTTCTGATTCCCCCACCTTCAGTAATTTACATATTAAAAGAAAATTATGGAAGTGAGCCTTGTGCCTTCTAGCAGTGGTAAATTTTCTGCTTGTTAGCTGATAGTCAGGGGTTTTAATGCGCAAAAACTCTCACAATGGTGAGAGCCAAGTAATTTGTATTGCTCTCTTTTGTATGAAATGATAAATAACAAATAATAATTGGGATATAATCTGCGCATGTTAAATTGTGTACCAAACACCTCATTGGTTTACTTTGAAGTATAAAATCCATTCTCCGGGTTTTTGTTTTACAGCTTGAGATATTGGACTTGGTAGATTTTTATAATTTAAATATTCATTCATACTAAGATATATGACTTTAATATTATGTGCTAAATTTTGCTACCTCCTCATAATACTGCTACCTATTTTGATAGGTTGATTTATACTTTATTTACACTTTGTATTTTGTTATGTACTAGCCGTATATGGAATGAAACTTGGTTGGCAAGCTTCTTCTACAAACCATGTAACTATGAGTTGTTTGTGAAGCAATCTTTGAACATGGAAATGGCGATTGTCATGGCAAGGGTATGGATTTTGGTTTCTTTTATTGGATTATTATTATAATATACTAGCAAATGTCTTTTTAAAGTAATTTATTTTACCAAGATCATAATGCCTGTCTTTACAATTTTTTTTACTCAGGATTCCGGCATGGATTGGATCATCCATCTAGATACTGATGAACTGATACATCCAGCAGGAACTCAGGAATACTCAATGAGACAATTGCTATCTGATGTGCCTGGGGATGTTGATATGGTTGTTTTTCCAAATTATGTGAGTTCAAGAGTTTTGTTCAGATCCAGAAGTCACTATCATTCAATATATTTAGTTGATCTACTGTGATCTTGTAACCTCTTTGATATTCGTTGATAGTTATAACTTAATGTTGGAATGTTGTTTGCTTCAGGAAAGCAGTGTTGAGCAAGACGATATCAAGGAGCCTTTCAGTGAGGTATTTTCATTAATAGCTTTTCTTATTTTTCAAACTTGTTTGATTGAAGATAATTATTAATTTAATTTCTGTTTGTGATTTCTTTTCTTTCCTTTGTTTTTCCATATATTTTGTTTGGAAAAATAAAATATGTACCAAAAATTGAAGATGAATTACTGAATTTGTTAAAAGGCTGACTCATTGAGAAATGATATAATCAAAATTTGTGCACAAATTTTATATTGACATATGAAAGTATATATATCTGCAGTGGCATTCACACTCGAGTTCTGTGTGTTTTTCCAATTAACCTTTTAAGCAATATATAAGGTGCAGAAAAAAAGTATTTTTGGCTGACTTTATGCATTGTTTAGTATTTATGCTTCATTACAAGAGCCTTTTTGATAATGTCTATGGAAGAGAGATGAATTGGAAGTTAGCTTGTTAGAATTGTGCGATTCAGCCATTCAGGAACAAACAACTCATTGGATATTTCAAAAAGAAAAGAAAGTCATTAATAAAACGTATATACACATAAAGTAATCCGCTTCACAAACATTTTCATATGAATTGCTGGCATTTGTTTGGATACAGCTATATTGTTGACAACCTTGTAATGTGGATGTTGTAGTTTCTAAGTTTTTTTTTAATCATTTATTTAAACCATAATTTGGAAGTGTCTATTTTGGTAAAAGCCAATGGTGTGAATCCAATTCTTAGCGTGTTTCATTGTTGTTTTTGTTGTTCCAACTTTTTTGCTTTTGGAAACTAAGTTTATTCAGCAACATATTTAACTTGCAATGCTGTCATAGGTTTCAATGTTCAAGAAGAACTATGATCACCTTCCAAAGGATGTCTATTTTGGAAATTACAAAGAAGCAACTCGTGGCAATCCAAACTACTTTCTAACTTATGGAAATGGGAAAGCAGCTGCGAGGGTTCAGGATCATCTCCGTCCTAATGGTGCACATAGATGGCACAACTATATGAAGACTCCTAAGTAAGTTGGTTCTGCACATTGTTAATTAATGAGCATGCATTTGACAATTATGTATGTATCTGTGAATATTTACAACAACATTAGTTTATAGTTAAAGGGAGATAGTATTTTGGAGTTTATGACTAGGTCTAGTAGACCAAGTCTAACCATAAAAAAATTATGGGAATGTTGGTTTCATATCATGCAAGTGTTTTTTTTTTTCTGCCAACTGTTGATCTTATATTAAAAGGTATTTCGAATTTGACGACAATTTATGCTGTCTTCAGTGAGCTGTCTTTATTTTTAGGTGTGGACATTTTTCTGTCGTAGTAGTAACTAATTAATGTTAGTTTAATTCCGTACCATTTTAAGTAAAATGTTCAAATCCATAATATAATATTAATAGTGAAGGATGCATTTTTTCTGTCCATATTTTACACTAATTTGTACCAAATCTTTTAACAGTGAGATCAAGTTGGAAGAAGCTGCTGTTCTGCATTACACTTACACCAAATTTTCTGATTTGACTTCAAGACGTGATCGGTGTGGCTGCAAGCCTACAAAAGATGATGTAAAAAGATGTTTCATGTTAGACTTTGACAGAGCTGTAAGTTTTAGTATCCCACTACATGCTCTCCTATCTTGTTCTAATTAATGTAATTACTAATAATTTCTTGAAGTGTATTGAGTACATTATTATCTGCAGTTACATTCTTCTTTTTCAAATATTTATATCCATCATCAGTTTTTGCATCTTCATGTTTCTTTAAGGCCCAGCACTCAAGCTATGTTTTGTTTTTATTTTCTGTGCATGGTTGGTTATATGACATTCCCTCAGAATATTTTTCATTTCTTAACATTAGAATTACTAAAAATTAGTTGTTCCTGGTTTACTTTTCATTAAGCACCATTGTCTCTATTTCCCTTGATGGCTAACCTAAAGTAATTGATGTTTATTCATTGAGTTTTTGTTCTTTACTTTCTAGCATATTCGGCTGTGAAGTTGCGCAAGTGTACATTTTTGGATTGATTGTTGGGTGGGGTGGGGGGACAAGGAAGTTTTAAATTGCACCCATGTATTATATATATTTATAATCTGACTACTCTGTTCTGTGTCTGGTGTAGGCGTTCATAATTGCTTCAACTGCTACTGAGGAAGAAATGCTTCAATGGTAAGTTTGGGAATACTTAAATTAATGCTATATTGTTTTCCTGGGAGGGTTTGAAATAAGCAGTTAAACTTTTTGTTTATATATGTCAGTAATTTACATTTTTCGTTTGTCCATACAATCATAGTCTTATGGAATTATTTACATTTTCTCTTAGTTGTAATTTAAAACATGAACTGTGTGTGAATGAATTGTAAATCTGCGTCGAGGAGCTTAGGTTGTTCTTAGATGATTTGCTGGTAGATATTGTGCCAAGTGAGAATTCGGTGGATTTGGCTCCTGAAATAAAGGTTCTGTTGGAACATCAATATCTTACAGTATAAATCGAAAATAATATTAGATACATAGATGAAGACTAGATACGAACTATGTCAAACATATTAAATTTGTGTGGCTCTTAGTCTATCCTAAAATTGCGTGAGCAGCCTCAACTTGTATATCAATTTGTCTTCAAGTCAATTTTTGTTTTCCATTTAGGTACCGTGAACACATTGTGTGGACTGACAAAGCACTAAAGATGAAACTTATTAAAAAAGGCATCTTATCTCGCATTTATGCTCCCATGGTAAAGTTCATTTCCTCGAATTTGCTTTCTGGCTTCTACCCAAGCAATTTATACTGTTATCTTACAGTTCTTAGAGGATGTTCTAACTTTTCTTCCAAAACATTGCCTTTGCAGGTCATTATTCAAAGTTTGAGAGAATCTGGTGTTTTTAGCTCTGTGATTGCGAAAGCTGCTCAGACAACAATATCAAAAGACAAATTTTTAAAATCTGTTGAGAGTAGCAATTCAACTAGGAATGACAGATCAGAAAAGATATCTTCAAGAAAAATTGATGCTGGTGGAGTATCCCAAGCAATTGCAAGAAGAATCTTGGAGGTTATAGATGATTCAATTCCCTCTGCAATTCCACCATTATCTCCACCCAGCCATGACGATGCTGACTTCCTTACGTCCTAGATTTTGACTGACTCCTTGCCCTGACCATAAAATCTGGAGAAATTTTTAAAGAAAAGCAATGACAGAAGCACGTCTGGCTGTCACGATGGGCATATCAGTTTTAGGATTCATGGGTTTTCCCCCGATCATTTTACCCAAGCGCTTATGTAAATTTCAGGTATAGAGTGTAGGCTTAGTGTAGGTATCATACGGGCAGACTTTTCTATCTGTTCATTATTCTTTTCCTATTTCTTCTGAGCAGATTGGCTGCGATTGTAATGGAAACTAGAGGCCTGTTCTATTTTTGTTCACACACATTGAGAGAGGCATACATACAGGTTGAGATTATCTCCCAGTTGGAGAAAGGAGAAATGATTTATACAATGGAAATGATATTTTGCCACTTTTTACCGGCATTGAATTAGACTTAATTACTTTAGTGCCCTGCATACAAAGGGAAGTGGAAGAGTTTTAAGAATAGTGTGACGTGAGAGTAGTGTGGTCAATGAAAAGATGGTTACAGATCTGGATTTTAATGTACTAAAGAAATAGTGAGAGAGTCTCGATTAAATTTCAGCTAATAAGATGGTGTTCTCTTCCAAAAATTTCGCATCTAACTAAAATCAACAAATTTAGTTTTATTTGATAAAAAATTTCCCCTAATGTGTCCTTACAATAAAAAATTACCAGTTAGTCAACACATTAATGAATATTAGTTAGGGGATTCATTTTCCCACTCTTAAGTGGTGGAGAAACATCTTATAAAAATGCAAAAAATATTGATGTTGTCAGAGTAATTCAAATAATAACATTTTAATTTATTTTGTTAAAAATTCGAAAATGTTCTTACAAATCTTTTAAGATATTTTAAAGACGTTGTCAGAGTAATTCAAATAATAACATTTTAGTTTATTTTGTTAAAAATTCGAAAATGTTCTTACAAATCTGAAAGTACATTTTAATACACATCTATTTTACACTAAAATACATCTTTATTGCGACATATATTTATTTTTTAAGATATTTTAAAGATGTTGTAGTAATTCAAATAATAACATTTTAGTTTATTTTGTCTTTTAGCTTATTTTGTTAAACAAAATAAGCTATCATATTTTGTTAGATTTATCAGCATGTGCGTCGTAGATTTCATTAGCTAATAATTGATTGGCTTGTAACTAATGAATTGTATTTAACGGTTGCAGAACATGGAATGAGGATTATCCATCATTTGATAAAACTCTTTCTTCCTTATACTTGCTTCTTCTAGTATCTTCTCTGCAATTTTGTGCCAGCAAGCATTCAAACATTGTTAGCTCTGGTTTAGAGAGGGTATTGTTAGTTTACTCCCTAATATTCAAAACTGGTATCAATTGGTATCAGTCTGGTGTTCTATGGCATCTCTTTCAACTTCTCCTCAAGACTTGGAGCAACACTTTGAAGAACGTCTCACACAACTGCAACTTCAACTAAACATAGATATGGACGAGATTTGTTCGCTATTACGTGTTCAGGACGATCAAGGATCTCCGACCTCAAACAGACAACAATGATCTATCAACACTCATAAAAATAACACAAACATCTACGTAACTCGCATTTCCAAAGTCGAGTTTCCTTATTTTGATGGTAAAAACGTGCGTGATTGGCTCTACAAATGTGATTAATTTTTTCTATTGCATGAAACTCCAACGACATTTATGATTTGTTTAGCTTTGATTCACCTTGATGGATTACCGTTGCAGTGGCATCTCAACTATATGAGTCAGAAGTTCGATATCTATCCGTCATGGCAACAATATGTCACGGCTCGCTTCGACGACGTTTATGAAGACCCATTATCATCGTTGTTGCAGGTGAAACACAATGGCAAGATTCAATAATATATTGACCAATTTGAGCGTTCCCTCACCCAAGCTAATTTGATTCCTGAACATTCATTTAGTATTGATCTGCAGATAACTACTTTAGACAGTTAACATTAGATTAGTATATAATTGAGACCATTCATTGTAATTGAGGTCATAATTTTTAATTCTTCTCTATAGAACCAAAATATCCAAGTTACAAAGAGAAACAGTTCATGAGAAAGTATAAGTCTGTGTACTTTCTTTTATTTTCTTTAAGTCTTTTGTAATTGAAGCATTACTTTAATGTCATCCATTTGCTTTATTGTTCATTATCTTTATCCAAAGTTTATTGTTTGCGTCTTTATTCAAATATTTAAGTTTTAATTACAAACATTTTTTCTTCGTACTTCTTTGCATAAATTGTCTTTGATATTTTTCGAGTTAATCTCTTAAATGAATAATATTCGTGATTGTTTAATAAAAATTCAAGTAGACAAATTGGCACATTTAGTGGGACTCTTTTGTGCAAGAGATTTTAATTTATGCAGAAAAGTGTTATGTCTTTTATATTGCGTTAGTTCTTCATGCATAAAATGTCTTCATTAATGGAGTGTGTATGTGTTTGAGGAGTGGTAAGATTCTTGTTGAAATGGTACATTCCAAAAATACTTCTATTCCCCAAAATAATATTCTCGGTGCAAGAGAATAACCAATCAAATTGACAGTTGGTGGTGCAGGAACTTCAACAATATTTGTAACCCCTCATGTAATAAGTCAAAAGTTTTGATGGCATTACCAGAAGTGGTAATTCCCCCACCACAAGTGTCAAGTGTTCTGACTATGCCCAAGATCATGCAACCCATAGTGGGAAACCCAAGGTTGTATTTTCCCTTAAGTTTTACATTACCACATGGTAATAGGAAATATCTATATGGCATGCGAACAACAATGATGGCATGCTTACATTCTAGCACATCTATGTATGCAGATAACGTGGTGGATTTTGTGTTCCTTATCAATCTATAGTTAGAGTCAAGACCTACCATAAGCAATCATGGTCCAATAGTACAACCACAATGAGGGTTAGGATACAACCCTTAAATTATATCGTCCATAACTACTAATACCCTCTAATTTGTGAGGCAACAAATGAACGAAAGTAACCATGATATGGTGCTTATGTTTATACAACATATAAGCATTATATTTAATCCTTTTATTCAAAGCATAAATCCTAGTTACCAATAGTTGGCTCAACAAATGGATCAAATTGTTTATTTTTTTGGTGCTCCTCAAGCACCTATCATGTCAGCATCTAATAACCAAACGCCACGACAAGTGGTACATGTCGAACAACCATTACCCATGATAGTCAAAGCTAATGAAGGCTACAATGGCCCTGGGGTAGTTTTAGTTAACATAAATCAAGACTTATACCAAGTGGTTAGAATTCCAACAAAACTATTGTGGGAGCACAATAACATAACCAACATGGTCGAATAGATATTGGCCCAAAATGGCCTTAATGCTGGCTTACATAGGCTAAAATTTAGCTCTGCACTATCTGAAACGTGTTGCAAACTGAATTGACAAGGGGTTGGAAAATCCCCAAGTTCACTAAGTTTACATGAGACACTAATGAATCCACCATCTGTTGGAACACAATTGTTCATATTCCTTGAGTTTTGACGATAACAAAGTACTTAAAGAACAATTGGGTATACTAATATATGTTCGAGTGTGCAGGATCATAAGCTTAAAAATCAACTTGATTTGACTTTGATAAGAGCATATGAAGAAAATCTAAAGGACTCAGATTCTGAAGGTTCAGAATCTGATGACTCGGAACTAGGTAACTCAACTTATGATGATTGATCAGACTCTAAAAACCTGAGCCAAAGGTACTCGGCTTCTGTTTTGTACTCTGTCTCTAAAGCAAGTCTATCTTGTCAAAGCCAGATTATGGAGAAAGTTAACTAGAGTCTCTTAGTGCAAGGCTCAAGAAGAGTTGACATGACTTCTTGAAACTGCCCCAACATCTTGATTAACACTTAGTATGAGAAAGTCACTTTGGATAAAGTTATTACTCGAAGGCTGGTGTGATACGGTGGGAGAACTGACTTGGGTTTTGCGTTTGTTTAATGTTTCGGTTTAGCAAGAGTCGCCACCGAATTTTTATTTTATCCTAAGGAAAGGTTAAAAAAGCACAGCAAAAACCTTTGAGATGTTTTCTTGGGTTCGGGGAGTAGATTATAGAAAGGGAAGGTATTAGCACCCTTTCTATCCATGGTTATCCATGGGCTCTTAGTTACTTGCTTAGATCACTTGCCTTGCATTTTCAATTGTTTGAAATGGTGCTTTGTGTGTGGGTTTGAAAATGTTTTGAAAAGAGGCCATTGTTGTGGCAACCTTTGTAATGATCCATGTTTGAATGTATACAAAGGTGTATTTGTCTTTTGAAAAGTTTTCAATGTTTTGAAAGTTTGTTTTGAAGTTGTGTTGTGATGTGTGTTTTTGAAAAATGGCAAGGATTGTTTTGCAATATTGGTCAAGTAACCAAGAGCTATCTACCCTAAATTTCTCAAAGATCTTTCCTATGTTTTAACCCTTTTAACAGTATTGTTCCACCATTGTATTTGGTGGACAATCTTGTGTTAGGATGTTAACGGGACGGGCGCGGATCATCGTTTAGACCATGAATGCAATAGTGCCAAGTGTCTTTGGCAACTTTTTCTTTTAAGGGACTTGATCATTTTTAGGCAACTTGAGAAAGCGTCATCGAGGGACTATGATCATTTGATTTGCTTTTGTTTTGCCAAAGACACTCAACATGCAACATGGCCCATTATTGAAGGCAACAAGTGGAGTAACCCTAAGGGTGCAAGTGTGATTGGCGTTGTCCATTTTCATGCTTTTTTGTCTTTTGTTTAGTCAAGCTATTTGTTATTTGATTTTTGCATACCAAACCCTAGGTCTATCATGGCATGTTTAGAAAGCTTTAAAATGCGGAATTTAAAGTCCTAAATTATTACAACATAATTATGGGGATGGGGGTACAAATGTTCAAATGGGGGATATTTAGCAAGAAATTTAAATCTAAACTATTACATCCATATTGAATATACAAGTTATTTAATTGTACAATAATTAAATAAATAAATATGCAAAATTGTA